ATCAGTAGCAGCAGCAGCAGCAGCATCAGTAGCAGTAGCAGTAGCAGTAGCAGTAGCAGTAGCAGTAGGGCTGGCCGGGCCAGCAAACTTGGAGCATCTTCGAGCGCAGAGAAGCAGACAACTTCCATCTTCTTCACTCTTCCGGGATGCCAAGTGTAGAATTTCTTGAAAGCCCCTTACACCGTAAGCTGCTGGAAGCCCTAAAGATAAAGGGGTGTTTCAGAACTTTCGGAATCCTCACGTACACCATAGTATACATAGCAGCCTCTAAGTTTTTCAACCTTGCAAACAAGCCGAAAATCGACCTTGCAGCCATTCGCTGCTCGGCAGGTGGTGTTGCTTTTGGCGTTTGGGCCGACCGTGGTGCAGCTGGATTTGAGGTCCCTTTTAATTTTAGGGTTAGAGACGCAGACAGCCTAGCAAAGCAACAGATGACGACGGAGACACTAAGTCGACGAGTTATGCAGAATGTGAACCCATATGACGAGGACGAGGACGGCCCATCATCATCATCAGCATCATCATCATCATCACCATCATCATCTTCATCAACGCCATCATCAGTACCGTCTTTGCCCTCTTCGGCGGCTGCGCCATCATCATCACCATCATAATCGTCATCCCCACCACCACATCAACACCATCATCATCATCATCGTCATCATCATCACCACCATCACCATCACCATCACCATCATCATCACCATCATCATCACCATCATCGCCACCATCATCATCATTACCATAACCACCCTAATCACCAGCGAAACCGAGAAGAATGACACGGCAAAGCCGAATCAACAGACTTGCATAACACCGAAGCAGCACTCCAAGATGCAAAATATATAGTCGAATGCTGCCAAGAATTCTGGCAAGTGTGTGGTTTAGGGTTATGAGTAGTTACAGTGGTAAGAGCAGCAGCATGAGCAAAGGCAACAATACTGCCCGAATAGAGGCTAGAAGAGCAGTGTTTGCAACACGTAGCAGCGTTAGGCGAAGAAATTCATAAGCATGGCCAGAAGGATACGGCCAACCAGTTACAGCCGCCAAGTCCACAGTTGCAGAAACAGCATCAATACCAACACCACTCACCACCGCCACCCCGCCCCACCGTCACTTCGCCGGCCCAATCTCACAACTTTCAAACCTTCCAAATCCTGACCTTAAACCTTAAATCCTAAACCCCAAACCCTAACTGTAGAGGTTTAGGGTTTAGGGACCTTAAACCCTAAACCCCAAACCCCAAACCCTAAACCCTAAACCCTAAACCCTAAACCCTAAACCCTAAACCCTAAACCCTAAACCCTAAGCTTTAGGGGTTGGGAGTCTCGGGTTCGTAAGTCCGAGACTTTATGAAAGCCCTGCGCGGAAGATGGAGCTACCGCAGGGCCATGCCATAGGGGTCGACATATTTTGCAAAGCGTTTTTTCTAAATAGTAGGAACACCCATATTGGTTTAGGGTTTAGGGTTTAGGGTTTAGTGTTTAGGGTTTAGGGGTTTTTCTTACCCGTATCGGCATATTTTCTCTTTGCAGCCGGAGAGAAAGCCAGAGTTTACCAGAGAGATGTGCTGGCAGGAACAAAACACCCGAGCCTGTTGAGCAACTGGGCCAGTTGGTTTAGGGTTTAATATAGGGGCCTAAATAACTACCTGTACTATTTTGGGGGGTTCCTTAGTATATATATATATATACTAAACAACTACCTATACTATTTTGGGGGTTACTTAGTATAAGTTTTGTATAAAACACTCAAGATTCGAATTTTTAAGGCCTCTGCATTAGGGTTTACAGGTTGTCGGGCTCAGAGTTTGGAGTTCAGTTTTTCCAGTCCAGGTTTGCGAAGCTCCCGAAAGCCTAAACCCTGAGCCCTAAGCCCTAAACGAAACTCTAAGCCCTAAACCCTAAACCCCAAGCCCAAAGCCCTACACCCTGAACCCTAAGCCCTAAACCCCAAGCCCTCAGCCCCAAGCCCTAAACCCTAAGCCCTAAAGCCTAGATCCTTTGGATTTCTAGAGGTTTTAGGAATTCTTGGCTCTGAGCGTCGCAGGGTTTCTGGTTGCGTGTCTGGGAGGTTCCTTTAAGGTTCTTTTAAGGTTCCGTTAAGGTTCTCTTTAAGGTTCCTTTAGGGTTTTAGGGTTTTAGGGTTTAGGGTTTAGGGTTTAGGGTTTAGGGTTTAGGGGTTGCGGCTTAGGTCTTAGGGTTCCCTTAAAGGGATCTATAAGGCCTCCTTTAAAGGAATCCATTGGGTTTCCCGGGGTTTAGGGGGTAGAAGCTTTTTAGGGGTTCCTTTGAGAGATCCTTGAAGGAATCCGTTAGGGGCTCGGGGCTTAGAGTTTAGGGGTTTAGGTTTTGGGGTTTGGCGTTCAGAGTTTAGGGGTTTAGATTTTGGGGTTTGGGGTTCAGAGTTTAGGGGTTTAGGTTTTGGGGTTTGGGGTTCAGAGTTTGGGGGTTTAGGTTTTGGGGTTTGGGGTTCAGAGTTTGGTGGTTTAGGTTTTGGGGTTTGGGGTTCAGAGTTTGGGGGTTTAGGTTTTGGGGTTTGGGGTTCAGAGTTTGGGGGTTTAGGTTTTAGGGTTTGGGGTTCAGGGTTTGGTGGTTTAGGTTTTGGGGTTTGGGGTTCAGAGTTTGGGGGTTTAGGTTTTGGGGTTTGGGGTTCAGAGTTTGGGGGTTAGGGTTTAGGGTTTGGGGTTCAGGGTTTGGGGGTTTGGGTTTAGGGTTTGGGGTTCAGGGTTTTGGGGGGTTTTAGGGGTCTAGGGGTTTGGCGTTTAGGGTTTTTGAGGGGTCCAGGGTTTGGGGTTTAGAGCTTAGGGAGGGTTTGGGAGTTTATAGGGTTCACCTCTTCGCGTTGGAGGACTGCGGGTTGTTAAGTTTGAGCAATTCGGGGCTGCGGTTGTCTCGGGGGCTGAGTACTTAACCTATACCTTGTGGGGCTTATCTTATAGTTGTACAAAAATTCAAAAGCTTGTCCTTTTGCTGGGCTATTGTACTCAGCCCCTAATTTGTTTTTGTGGTGGTTGTTGCCTGAAAGGTTTCCTTTTTGTCTTTTCGTCCCCGCGTTGTGGGGGTTTGGGTTTCAGGGGTTCCTTAAAGGGCTCCTTAAAGGGTTCCTTAAAGCGTTCTATAAGGTATCTACAAGGGTTCTATAAGGGGGTCCCCGTAAACCCGTGTAGATCCCTTACAGAGCCCTTCGAAGGATAGGGTTTAGGGTAGAGGGTTTAGGGTATAGATCCCTTACAGAACCCTTTAAAGGATATAGATCCCTTACAGAACTCTGTACAGGACCCCCTAAAGGTTGTCGAGCTGTCATTGTGGGAATCGAGCTCTGCGAGTCTAAGGTTTTGCTTGGGTTTGGTTTCTTAGGGTTTAGGGTTTAGGGCTTTGTGTTTAGGGTTTCCGGCTTTAAGCGGTACGGTTCAGGATTTATATACATATTTTCACACCTTCCCGAAACCAACCTTTACGCTCGTTTCACACGAACGGGCAAGAAACCTGAAAGAACCATTACCAAGCGCAAGGCTTGACATGCGAAGGGGCGATGTTCTCATCTACCTGCACGACCTTTGCTTTCTTCGGGTGCTAGAGAGCGGTTTCTTGGCAGTGCAGGGTTTAGAGTTTAGGATGGTTCAGGGTTGAGGGGGTTTCGGCTTTTGTATTTAGGTTTCAGGGTTCCTGGTCCTAAACCCTAAATCCTAGTTCCTACACCCCTAACCCCCTATCCCCTACACCTAGGCTTTAGGGCTTAGGATGGTTGGTTCAAGGTTTAGGTACCGGCTTTGGAATCCACATCTCGAAACCCTCCGTGGCTTACGGTTTAGGGCTTAGGGATTTAGGAGGATTGCAGGTTCAGGGTTTAGGAGTTTAGGGGTTTAAGGGTGTAGGGTTTAGGGGTTTAAGGGTTCTACGTGGCTAAGGGCTCAGGGTTTAGGGCTTTTAGGGCTTAGGGTGCAGGGTTCAAAAACTGGTGCGGCTTAGGGTTTTGGACTCTGGAGTTAAGGCTAGCCCTACACCCTAAACCCGAAACCCTGAAGCCCAAAGTAGAGAAGGTTGCGGGGTTTCGGGTCGCGGGGCCCTAAACCCTAAACCCTAAACCCTCAACCCTCAACCCTCAACCCTAAACCCTAAACCCTAACCCCTATTCTAGCATCGTGGGATCGCAGTGCTCCGGGATACGAACCTTAGATGCCGGAGCCTGCCTTTGCAACTTTGGGTTCAAGTTTGAGCCATTTGCGTTGTATGCTGCCGCCACTTCTTAGGGTTTAGGGTTTAGGTTTAGGGTTTAGGGTTAGGGTTTAGGGCTTCAGGGTTTAGGGTTTAGGGTTTAGGGCCGAGGACCCCTGGATCCAGCCCTGAGCGTAAACCTCACAGGTCTTGGAGACTTGATGCGACCACGGTTGTAAAGAAGTCTGTCCTTCGGCTGTTCCCCGAGACCCTACTGTATTGTCTAAACTGTCTAAACCCGAAGCCTTAAAACCCTGAAACCCAAAAGCCCTAAACCCCTAAACCCTAAACCCTGAAACCCTAAAGCCCCCTAACCCCCTAAACGCTAAACCCTAAGACCCAAAAGCCCTAAACCCCTAAACCCCTAAACTCCAAACCCTGAAACCCGAAAGCCCTAAACCCAAACCCGAAGAGTTCTGAAATGCCCTAGAAAGCCCTAAACCCTAAATCCCTAAAGCCCTAAAAGAACCCTAAAAGCCCTAAAAGCCCCTAAACCCTAAACCCTAAACCCTAAACCCTAAACCCTAAACCCTAAACCCTAAACCCTAAACCCTAAACCCTAAACCCTAAACCCTTGACCCAGAAGCCCTGCGGCCCTGCTTGGAGGATCTTAGAAGTACTTATAACCCCAAGGAAGGCACGTAGAACCTTACTTACTAAGGGCCATGATCCTTTAAGTTACCCTAAACCCTAAACCCTAAACCCTAGACCCTAAACCCTAAACCGAAAAGCACCCTTTACAGAATCCTTATAGGTGCCTCACAGAGCCCTTCCAGGAATCCTAAGCCCTAAAGGCTCAACCCTTCAAAGGAACCCGTTAAGGAATCCCCTTCAAGGAGCTCTTTAAGTTACCTTGTGCCAAAATCTAGGACATTTTCAGGTGGGTAGTTACCGTTCTAGGAGGTTTCTAGAAGGTCTATATACCTTATAGAAGCCCTAAACCCTAAACCCCTCAACCCTAAACCCTTTGGCCTAAACCCTTTAAGTGACGAAGTGCCAAAAGACCTAGAACATCTATATACCTTATAGAGGCCTTATAGAAGCCCTATATACCCTAAGCTTTAACAAAAGATCCCTAAAGCCCTAAAGCCTAAACCCTAAACCCTAAACCCTAAACCCTAAACCCAAGATCCTGCAAGTCAGGGCCCCTCCTGGAGCTGGAT